TTTTTGTAAAATAAAATGTCTTTTTTAGTAACATATTTATAAAAGTAATAATATTTAATGGTTATTAAATTGCTTTTAAAATTTCCAGGTACATTATTAAAAAGAAAAACTAAAAATTCTGGTCCGACAACATTGGTCTTGGTTAATCAGCCTTCCGAATTCAATAAATTATTAGTTCTGATACACAGAAGTTTAATGCAGGTCTACAGAGATTGGGTTAGTTAAATTTATTTTTATCTATATTTTTAGTTGTATAATTCGCTATGTAGGTACAGATATTTTCTATATGCTAAATAATCTTTTATTTTTTTTGTTTAGTTAAAATGTATTGGAAACCAATAAAATAGCAAATAACTATTGTAAAGAACTCTCATTGGCATACTCTTAAAGTAGTAATTAATAATATTTAAAGTAAATAATTGTATATAGATATACCTATATTGTGTACCATGATGTAACTATAATATTAAAGTTAGCAATTATTATTTTTTACAATTTGAATATTATATAATATGAAATACAAAATTTACATATTGAATTGTAGTAATTATTTTAATTTTCTACAAATAGTTTCACAGATAAATTTTTAAAACTATATCAAAATACCTACCCGAAACCCGAGACTTTTCTTGTTCAATACAAACAAGCGAAATAATTACTAATTAGAATCAATGTTTTCCTTTCTTTATATACATTACTAATTAGGTATTAAATACACCAAATGAGTGGCTTGGCGTGACGCGTTGACTGCTACCAGTCGCAGAATGCGATTGTGAGTAAATGACGTCTACAGCTACTAGCTCCCGGATGGGTGACCACCCGGGTTCATAGTGGTTAAAAACCTTGCCACACATACACGTGTTTGCTGTCAACCTTAACAACCGTAAAAAAAATCTACCGTTACCAACCTTACCCCTACAACAACTAATGGCCCTAGTCGCCGGGCTTTAAGTTCAATAAAAAAAAAAACCAAATTATGTTATTTATAATAAAATAAAAGCAAACATAATATTTCCACTTTTCAAAATATTATCATAGCATCACAATTTAATTATTTTGTTCTAGACGGTAACTCATGTAAAAATATGTATGCACTTTCTCGTTGGAATATTACTAGGACTCTTGTTTGAAAACGCTGGCATTGATGGTGGCAAAACTATCAACAATATTGGATTCTGTATTGTAACGCTCGTATACTTAAGCTACACGTCCATTATGCCAGCTATTTTAAAATGTATGTATAAATTAAAAAAGCCTACTAGTTGTATTATACAATCTCACATAAATAAGCATTTAAAATTAACTAAATTTTATTTATTTTTTCAGTCCCATCCGAACTACACATTCTGAGAAAAGAATTATTTAACAACTGGTATAAGCTATCAACCTATTTTATAGCGTTTCTCGTCACAAATATGCCGTTACAGGTAAGTCAAGAAATTATTAAAACAATTTTTACGGATATTTTTGTTTATTAATACTTATTTTTTTGCAGATGGTGTTTTGTTTTATTTACACATCAATTTCTTACTACTTGTCGGCACAAATGATGACATGGACCAGATTCTTGATGTTCTTATTTGTTTGTCAGCTAATGACTCTAATATCTGAAGGTATTGGTCTTATTCTTGGGACTGCTATGAATCCAGTTGTAAGTCAATATAAAATTCTGTACAAATTCTGTCCATTTTTTACTCATACCAATATATGTTTTAGAACGGAGTCTTCATTGGTTCAATCATCACTTGTCTATGTATTCTCTTTGCTGGTTTCTTAGTACTTTTCAACCACATGCCTATTACCCTATATTATGTATCTTACATCAGTTATATGAGGTATGCACTAGAAGGCCTGGTCGTTTCTATTTACGGTTATGGTCGTGAACCTCTAATCTGCTTAAATGAAGAAGGTTACTGTCATTACCGCTTTCCAGAAACAACATTCAAAGAAATTGGTATGACTGATGGAAAATATTGGACAGACATAACAGTGATGGTTGGATTTTTGTTTTTCATTGTGATAATTAGTTTTTTGACTTTAAGAAAAAGTTTGAAATGTCGTTAAGCCTATCAATCTGTGATTATAATCTTAAAAATGTGTGTTGAATTTGTTACTTTACCTTAGTGAACAATTCACCCATTAAACTGTAATTTAATTGATACCATCTAATTAATTTAGTGTAAATACTTTTTTACTTAAGATTTATGATTACTGGTATATTTATAATAAATTTAAATGGTAGGTACTTTTGCTATTTACAGTTATAGAATATTGTTCAATATATTTGTATTCTTTTTATTTATGTAAATTGTAAGTATTGTATTTAATTTTTATAAAATTGATATTAGATAATGTTTATTAATAATCGCCTATTTATGTAAAATATTCTTAGTTTAAGTATTGTAACTATATTGTTTCTATTCTTGTGAATTAGTACTTAATGTGGTAGGTTGATCATAAAAATAAAACTATTTTTAAATGTTTTTAATTTGTATTTATTATTTATAGTTTAGGAATAATCATACTCATATATACAACAACTAATAAACAAATTCTCTTAAGACTGTCAAAATAAAAAATTTAAGAACTCTTTATATTTTAACTTTTTAAACAGTTTAAAACTATCAAATTATCTAAATTAAAATGCCAATTATGTTTGAAAGTTATTACTATAAAATATATAGTTTATATTTTATAGAATAAGACACCAAAGGGAAACATTATACTATACATTTTTAGTCTATGTAAAACCACATATATTAATGCTAATAAGCTTATTTAAAATAGATAAATATAATAGTATCATTGTGTAGGTACATGAATCCTGTTGTGTAAGTTAAACATTGAAACATGTCTATAAAACGTGAAAGAAATGCCTATATACCAATTTTAATTACTTAATGAAATACTGTTATGATAGAAAAATTTAAGATAAAATAAAAGTTTTAGGTAAGTCCTAAGAATAATTTTTTTAAACTATATCTTGTTATATGTATATTTTGATAATATTATTATTCATAATTTAAATGTTTAAATATGTATACATTTTTAATTAAAATGCATAATATAAAACAAAATTATACATATCATTATGCATTTTAAATATTTTTTTATAGATATAAGAACAACTTGTTCCTGATGTGAAATCTTTTAAAACATTTTCAACAATTTTCATCCAGCAAATAATGTATCATCTATATTCATATAAAATAAACTAAAAAAAATTCAAATTTTCAAATTTTATAAATAGCCTAAAAAGAGTTAAAATGTTTCAAAATTTGATCAAGTATTGAAAACAATAATATGAACATCAATTATATTTCATATATATTTATAGGTATTTTATTTATTATATTATTGCCATAAGTGAACATTGAGGTAAAGCATAGTACCAGAAATTGAAATTTTAGATCAAATATTATTACTGTGTTTTAATTATTCTTCAAATTTAAATAAGTTAGTAAAATAATGAAAATTTTACAAAACAGCCAATTTACACTTAATATCTCCTCCATGCCATTTGACGACTAAAGTTGTACTTTGACACTTAACTAAAAAATAAATATTATCAATGTATAATGGACCACATTTTTATTACCTACTAATTTGCATAATTTACCTAGGTAAACCTAAATTAACTAGACTATACATGTACATAATACAATTACACAAATAAATATAAAAGCATAAATACCAACAATATACCTAACAAATATTAGGTACTTAGAAGTTCACTGCCTAGTTTAATTAATAATTAACTATGAAATACTAATGTATTTTGAGCTGAGATTTTAAATCGCATTTTTTTTCTGAAATTATCATTATATAATATTTAAAAATAATTTTAAAGAGACCTAGACTTTACTTGATTAATTTATTCAATTCTGAACTTTCTGTTAATAATGTATATTCTATTTTATATGACTTGTACTCAATTAAGTTCCAAGATATTAAAACTATTCTTAAGTATAAATGTATAATACTAGGAACATCAATTAAGTATAATAAGGTAAGGTATGATTGTATTTAATTAATTCTAGGTATAAGAAAAACTGAAAATCTATAGATAAATCTATTTTTTATTCACAGATTGTAATTTTCTTAAATCAATGAAAAAAAAAAAAGAGAAGCTAAATCTATTGTGTGTAAATACTTAAGCTTTATATTATAATCTTACACTATCCGTCCATGGTCTAACATAATATGTTGTAAATATTATTTATAGTTCTATAATTCTATTATTATTATTATTTTATTTATTTATTTTAAATTGCTGTATTATAAAAAACTCTCCATAGACGTACGCAAACTTTGATCACAGGGTGTATCTATACAGCTTATAAAAATATGTGCTCTTCAAAAATATAAATTATCGCACCAAAGCCTTTAAAATATTTATGATAACCATTTTTATTATTAGTGTTTCTTATTAGAAAATATTAAGTTTTACAATACCTACATTTTTTATGTTGAGAAATAAAAACATTATTCCAAAGATATTTTTAAAGTTATACCTAACTCTTAAGGTTAGAACTTCATGAATTTTATCACATAATTAATTTGTAAACATCGATCATACCATCATGTCTATATTTGTTTGTTTTTTATTCTTCTAAAAAGTTTTTTAAGACTGATCACATGCCATCTAATAAATTACAGTCACAACTCGTTAGGTAGATAATAAGTACTGGTTAACTGGAAATGTGATAAAACCTAGTTTTTTTATAGAAATCGCACTTAAGGAACTATAGAGTTTAGCACAAGTTGTACTTTTAAAAAAAGAACCAAAGCGTAATCATTATTCAATTATTGTTTCATGTTTGTTAATTATTGGTTATTTAACGTTAACTAATTAATATTATTATTTATCAATGTACAGAACTGTGGCAGTGCAGTAGGTAGGTACATAAACGACAAATATGAAAAATGGAATATATTAATATTCCATGTCTTAAAATAGATACCTACATCTAGTGCGGGGATTTTCCAGTTGTTATCTTAACTGATTGTGAAGCCGTTTTCCATCGTTTTGTTCTGCCCTTCTGCAGTCCACAAGCGAAGTGCTTAAATTTTTTAGCTTCCATAATATGATGTTTTTGTTATAAACTTTGTCGTTCGCTGCTAATATTAGGACAGTAATTATTAGTTACTCTTATACTGTTTGATTTGGTCGAACAATTTTCCGTTTTGCGTGTGAGTATTATAATGGGAGAAAAGCTTCTGTACACGAATATGGAAAACAACAGCAAAGACCTCCCAGTTACTAATCTGTCGACGACCATCTGCCGGGAATTCGAAAAAATCAACATTTTACCGGCGACAGTCAACTTTGTGGATGGATACGAAAATCCAGTCGCGTGGAGAAAGAGGTACAAGGTGTGCGGTGATCAGTCAAAGGATGTACTGTTCGATAACCTGGACATGAAGGCCATCACCCAGGATCAATATGGCATGCAACATGACACGTACCCTGAATTCATCAAATGGAAACTGTGAGTACTTGTCGATAATTATATATAAAAAACTTTATTAATATTTGATGTGTGGCAAAACAGATAAAATTTTTATTTTAAACAATTAAAATAAAGTGACCAATATTACTTAGTCTCTAACCAACATAAAACAATAGAATAATAATTCAAGATTTTCAAGCAAGAAATTTGATAGTATCGATATTTATCAGTCTAAAGTCAAATGTTCAAGTAGTTACATAATATGCGATATAACAGTGAAATATACCAATTCATATCAGACTTGAACCTTGATACAAATAGGTAAGTAATCTATTTAGTAAATACTAAATATCAAATTTCTTTTCTTGAAAATCTTGGTCATCTAGTACTCTATTAGGAATCTAGGTAAAAGAAACCAAAGATAAAAAGAAGCCACAGGAAAAAAAAAATTTTACTTATTAATTGTTAATAATTTAACAAAATAATTGTTATACAATACCATTATTAATACAATTACATATTTTATTACATATTTTGTTATTAAAGAAAAAAATATCAAAGAAAAATCTTTACTTTTAAGAAATTTGCTGACTGTACAAAAAAAATTGTCAAATTTGCTGAATAATTAATATTTGAAGAGGTGTATCTTAATACTAAAATAATTTAATACAATTTTGTAATTTAATTAAAACAATGTAAATTATATTTGAATTAATATATTTGCTTAATACAATGAACTAAGCCATAGGTTTTAATACTTAATATTATTAATTTCTATGATCAACATATAATTAAATTTGTTACTTAACATCAAAATAACAATTTTTTTTCACTATAGGTAAAGGAAGTATATTTAATATAATAGAATTTTAATTGTTTTAAAATAATTCATAGTAAATTTCATAGCAAGTTTTTTTTTCTGTGTACTTATCAGTTTTATCACCTATTACATCCATTATATGAGAAATTAACGGGGAAATTAATAACAAAATGTTTAATATTTAATTAAATAAAAATACTTCATTACCATTATTTTATTAATTATTACCTATAATATTAAAGTTACAATTTGTCCTTTTTTTTTCTATTGCCCTCTATTAGGTATATGCTTACCTAGTATTTACTATTAACTACTCTAATAATTTCACACTTAAATTAAAATATTAATCAATTTATACCTATAAGCAACTTTGGTCTCTTCTCAATAAGTGTTTTAAAAAAAACTAGACTGCTAACTAAATCCAAATGATTGTCTAAATAAACTATAACCTAAAAACTTGAATAATCAATATGAATTTTATATTTCTTCTTTAATTAAAACTTTTTTTTTAAATTTATACTTTATTTTAAATATTACAATCTATACAAGTGTAGAATAAGCAATGACTATTAGAGAATAATAAAAACTTAGGATGAATAATTCCTAACGTGGATAACATGGTAGGAAGTCTCACATTAGACATCTAGTGGCTTTATATTTACATTTACAATTTTTAAATCCCAACATAAATTCCGCTTGAGTCGTCTGACAAGTTCCGGGTAATGCTAGTAATACTTAATTAAAATTATGATTTTGATTTTAAACTAACCAAACAAAAAATTATTTTATATACCTTGTTTTATATATACCTACCTACTATACATTTTTATTAATAGATTCATAAAATATTAACCGATTTCATTCTATATTTTGATTACTTTAATCACGTGAACCACTCAAATGTGACAATATCTTTATCATTAATCTATTGATTATCAAAATCAAATAATTTCCATCACAATGTTGGTATTTGGAAAAGAAATCGTCAGTAAAAAAAAATATGATTAAAAAGACCACTTTTCTTATTTTAGCTCTTTAACAAAAACATAAATATTATTTTAAATCTGTAAGATTTTATATAAAATTATTGATTTAATGTTGCTATAAAATGAATTGCTATCCTCATTTAAGGAAACATAATAAAATGATAATAAAGTATTAGGTATTGTATTTATTGTGATTTATATAATATTAAATTTTATAAGCCAAATGATAATAGTTTTCTGGCACTAAAACTACATTAAAAATTAAATTAACTCTATTATAATTATTAATTTGAATTTATTTTTCAGATTTGGTTATAACATAGTTATATGTTATGAATATATTGCTGAAGGAAAGTCAAATAAAGCTTTGGATATTATTGGTGAAATCGAGATTATTTTATCATCTATTGGAAAAAACGATCAATTTTTAAAATCTATTAAGATTGCTCTCAATCACATAACATTTTCAATGAAAGGTTATTTGTTCAAATTGTGTTCAATTAAAAATATGGTTTGTAAATTATGATATGTAGCAAAATTCTTAATTTTGCGCTGTTATAAATTGTAATAACTAGGTATAAAACAATACTTTGTTATTCAATGTTCTTACTTTTGCAATTTTGTATATTCATTAAAACAATATTTGTTTGATTTTTAATCTATGAATAAATAACTATATTTTTGCTTTTAACACTACCTACTATCCTAATTATTATTTTTACATTATTTATTATATTTAATATTTCATTGTTGTTTTTTAGGTATTGGAGCATTTTATAATGCCAAATAATATGAACAATGCAAATAAAGCTGGATTATTTGGTGTTCAAACATTATTCTTTTATGAGTATGGCTTGCCTTGTGCACAAATAGCAAAAGATAGCGCACTTAAAGCAGTATCATTAAATGAAACTGAAGCTGAGTGGTATTTTTTAATGGCCAGAGTATTAACACATTGGCAAAGAACATGTGGTAATTATTTTGAATGTTCTGAACAAGAAATTAAAGCATCTGAAATGGCAGTTAAACTTGGTAACAAGGATCACCATAAATTACATTTAATTCATATATATTATAGGATGAGTAAAAATATGAATAAAAATAAAAATGCCAAAAATCAACTTCTAGAAGAAGCATTAAAATTACTTATGTTAGTTTTAAAAAATATATTTGATAATTATTTTCTTTCTAACTATTTGAATTAATATTTAAACTATTGTTTTCAGTGAAGTAATAGACAGCACAAAAGATTTTCTTTTGCTAAAAAATTGTTTACTTAGCTTGTCAAAAATAGCTCAAAATAAAGAGTATAACAATGATATTACTATAATTTTAGAACAACTTATTGATGCATTAAAAGATAGTGATAATGGTTATGTTCATGGTGCAATTGGAAACTACTATTTGTTTAATAAAAAGGTATCTTACTATGTAATATGACAAACACTACAAATGTATCACTAATAACAAACAAAATTGGTTTTTATAAATTTGCTTCTAACCATATATAAAGTAAATATAAATATATTCTAAAAATAATAATATATTGTTTTTACGCTTTAGGATTATCTAAAGGCCAATTTTCATCTTAAGAAAGCTTATGATGTTAAAAGCTTTGGTTGTTCTATTGATTACATTTATACATTCTTTAAAATAAATGCAGAAACCGCACCAGTAGAACAAATGTTGGTGGACTTATTAAAAACATTTCCTCATCCTGTGCATCAAGAAAAGCTTCTGAGTCAAATTGTATCATATCTTATTCTAACCAAGAATGATCTCATACAAGCACTTAAATACATTCCAATGTTATTGAACATAAAAAATGTGACTTGTATTTACAGTCTTCTGGTAAATAAAAAAAACTAATTTATTTAACTGTTCATTGTACTAAAAATATTATTTTAACATTTTTTTATAGACACATAGAGCCAAATTTAATAACTATACTAAAGAAGTTAATTTGTTAGATGTTTTGTCTAAAGAACTATCTTTAGCTTTAAGAAATACAACATTGTCAACAGATGATCAAAAAAAAGTTACAGAAGTTATGAATATTCTAGAGCCATATAAATTATATGTATCAAATTTGATGAAAAATAAAGGACATATTTTTGAAAACAAAGTTGCTAATGATTCTAAAGTTAAAACAACACGATATAATAATGAAACTGAGCGTAAGGAATCATGGACCCATAACAATTATAAACAGACTGTAAATTCTGTGAAGAATAAGGAAGAAGGTAATTGGAGGACTTTAAAACCAGATTCTACTCTAAAAACTACAGTTTTTATGCGTAATAATCACACTCAGATGAAAAAACCATGGTATGGAAATCAAGATAACCTTTAATATGAACTAATAAAAAAAAAAATTATAATTTTAAATTTGAACCTTGTTAATTGAAGGTATTTTTCATTTGTTAAAATAAATTATTCTTTACTAAAATTGTTTTAATAAATATATTGGTAGAATTAACAAAAATGTTTTATAATTGACTTCTTAAAAAATATATAAGAGCTTATTGTGAATGTCTTGAGTTGTATTTACAATATTTTATTTAATTTTTAATATAAATTATGATTATTATGAAATTTAATTTTTTTCAAATTGAATTCCTTACTAACTTATCATCTTGGTTCATTATATTGTAGTTTTGTTAGGGTCATACAATATTATATTATAGTATTTTTGTTGAAATTCAAGTTTAAAATTAATAATTTTTAAACAACTAATATTTACTAATATTACTTATTATTTATTTCAAAGGTTATTAACAATAGCCAATAATATTTATTCAGGAAAATTCAGATAGTATTTCAAATAATTTTAGAACACTGCTTTCCAAAAATATTTAACATTGTGTTCTGAATACTTTTATAGTATTTTTTTTTTATTATTATTATTAATAGTTTTATGACATTTTTATTTTAAATAAATAACTATAATTTCAAAATTTCACAAAGATAAAAATAAATATTATATAAATCTTTATATAAAATAATATTTTTTTTCGTATTCAACTATATCCAAAAATAATAAATTCATCGTTGTACATCGGTTTTTATGTGAAGCTGTTGGAAGTTTTTTTTACTTCATATACATGTCCCTCATATTTTTCCAGCGCTTTTTACAATCACCTATAGGTACAATGTATAGAACGAAGATAATGAATAAATTATTAATGATATTAACATTGGCGTAATTTGGAAATATATTAGGGGGGTAAATATATAATTACACATCAATATATTATTGAGTATTGTTATGTTACTTACTTGCAAGGAAACCATGCTTTTAGAGCCAGGCGTCCTCGGAGTATGTGTCTGGGTCCGCGGCTTGGCTGAGTCTCTCCTGGACGGTGTCCAGTACCGGCTCATCAGACGTTCTGCCCTCTGTCGCCAATAGATCCACCTCCATCGACACCTTCGGTGTCATCTTGGACAACGGCCTGTTGGCGGCCGCTGGTTGCGAGGTTGGCGTGGAGAGCTTAGCTAACCGATGTTGTTGGCTTGCCAACTGTTCCTTAGTCTTGGGCTTTGGGAATTTTTTATGATTCCTCGCCTGCTGGGCCTCCGTCCTAGTCTTCACTGTCGGTGTGAGGGGTGCCCAGAACGTCTTGGATACTTGTTTAGGCTTTCTAGTCGTTGCAGAGCTGGATCGACTCACCGTCTTAGCGGTCACTTGTTGTTGCGGCCGCTTTGACGGTCTATGTTTTGGCCTTGGTGGTTGCGGAGCCCTAGTGGACGACTTTTGCAGCATCCTTTGTATGTCAGCTGTACTGGTCGCCCGCACCGGGTCCTGCAGTAGGCGGTGGGTCGACATCCGGCCACCTGAGCTGCCGTCCGTAATTGGTCCTGGTCGACTCCCACTAGACCTAGCTGGAAGATGAGGTTCACCACACTCCTCTATTTCTGTGCAGTCTGATGTTCGCCGCTCATTGTGCCTGAAAAAAGAGGATTAGTACAGTACTACAGTGCAATTTACTTATTGTGTCACTGTGGGTGCACGCTTTAGGTCGTAAGACACATATATTTTTCGTGTTGGTTGCTGGTCGATAAGGAAAACTCCTTTTCGAACCTGCTTCACTAGCCTTATCGAGCCCCACCATTTTAGCGCAAACCCGGCATCATAGGCGTAACTAGGGGGGACTTGGGGGGCTTAGTCCCCCCAACATAAATTTTAGCCCCCCCCCTGTCATAATTCCTAATCCCACATTCCCGCCCATAATAGTAACATTTTTAAACTTAAATTTAAAATATCGTTTTATTTTTTTTATTAATATCTTGGAAAAATATTAATTTAAACTATATTATTGTATGTAATGATCCTGTGTAAGACGTATCATGTTGTGTAATTTTTACTACACAAATAATCCCTACTAAGAAGTTGTCAATAAATTAAAAATCGTTAAATTCTTTATATTTAAAATAATACTTAATAATATGTTAATATATAAATATTTAACCTCAATACCACTTAGTTTATTATTTGTTTTATAATTAAATATTAATTTACATTCATATTATATGTATAATCAATGAATGTAAGGTGTTTGATAGGTATGAGGGGCAGAGCCTTCCACTTAATTTACTTATAATAAAAATTCTAGGGCTGAAGCCCCCCCCCCTAACTTTAAGGTCTAGTTACGCCTATGCCCGGCATGTAACTATATGTGTCTTAGATAGGTGGTGTGCTTTGTAGTAGACTACGTTGCCCTTGCCGAATTTTACCGTTGTTCCGATGTTCTTGTTGTGACAATGCTTGGCACCCAATTTGTGACAAACATGTCATCCGGGTAAAAAAGACCACGGGTAATTGATCTGGTTTTGGAAACTCTATATATAAAACGCAAACTCAATGATAATCGAATACATTAATTGCAAAATCGTCTTAGATCTACCACATTAGGTATAACATTTGTATGAATGTAATTGTTTGAAAAAACGATAAAAAATCCCAATTATCTTACTGTTCTGTTGACTGCGCCCAGATGCCCGAGTTTAGTAAATCTGCTACGCCGTTACCCAAATATTGATACAGACTACAATCATAGCAATCAATCCAAACTAAAATTATCGTCAAAATAATATAAAACGACATATCGCACACCTATATCAAAACTGTAAAAACTCCAAAAAGAAAAAACACTTCAGGAATTTCAAAAAAGTATTTGTTTTGTCAGTTTTATAATGTAATTTAAGTAAACAATTTTTTCATAACTTGGCAACGCATAATAATGTTAATTTTAGGGGTCCCGTATTTGAATGAAGTGTCCTGGTGTCCCGACACTAATTTAAAAATAACACTTTTGTCCCGTATTTTGGATAATTCTCTGCAAGTTTAGATACAGTTTTTCATTCTTTTTTGATCAAATATTATAAAATAGACACATTAGGTACTTCTTGTAACAAAATATTAGAATTAAATATAAAAACAAAACTTAAACTTAGGTGCATCAAAAATATTTTTAAAACTTATTAGTTGTAAAATTAAAAAAAATATCTTTTCTTTCTTGATACATTATACAAATTTATTTAACTATCTCCTACTAAATTTTTGAAATAGGATTCATAATACTGGGTTAGAATAACATTCTTTTTTTATATCACATAAAGAAATTTTTCCAGTACCTAGGTAAATATACCTCTATAATATACTCATGGTAGGTACTGTTACACTTTCATAGCTTGCTTTCTGCAATTACAATTTACAGACTTAAGTAAATAATTTATATTACTTAGATTATAAGTCCTGCAGATCTACTTTTGTCCTTTTAGTAGATACCAAAAGTTTCAAAGACTGATTAATAATTTTTTTTTTTCTTACTGACCTTGGCCGTAATGTTTGATTGAAAATACATGTAAACCATAGTTTAAAATATAATTTATAGATAGGTAATATGAATGATAAGTTTTTATATAATATTATTTGCATAAATAATTCATTATTAAAAAAAATAAATATTATCTATTTAAAAGTATATCTATTCAAAATATCCCGGGTTCGGGAAAATATAATCTATAATCTAGTAATCTTATTATTACAGGTACCTACAGTTGTACAGTAAAAGAATGAATTACTAACTATAATTTATTAAAGTACACTTATACACTTGAAAAATGGTTTAATGGCTGTATATTATTTGCGTCCAAAAGAACTGTGAAAAGAAATTTGGACTCTTTAGTTTTCATACGTTATATACTAATATCTTGATATTGCGTCGAATCTAGATAATGTAAATAATTTTAAAATATATTCATCATACTTTTAATATTACCATTACCTGTTTAATAATAAAAAATAGTGTGATACTATAAACTATTATTACTTTTCATTTAAAGTTTAAAAAAAATGGCGTGTTCTACAGCTAGGTACTTAATGTATATCAAAATATTTTTGTGTTCATCGATGTTTTGAAAATATACAATAAAACATTAAGGCCTGATTTATAGAATTAGACTAAGAATTAAAATAATTGCAGAATAAATATAATAGACAAAGAAATATTCATTAAAAATACTATGAAAAACTATAATATAGTTATATTATATACTATACTGCTACTACAGTCTACAGTATTTAATAATCTAACAAAAATACGACGTACTTCAAAAAAAAAAAAAATTGATGACAATTTACATAAAAATAAATCACGGAATAAATTAAGTTTAGCAAAATATAGAATTAGATATTCCATAATAATTTTTTATTTAGAATTACCAAGTATTCATAAACACCTGAGGAGCCGCAATGATTCATATGGAATGCTAAAACAACCTGCGTCACAAATCGCAGTTTATGTAGGTATCCCTAAAAAATCTCGAGTCGCAATTCAAAAGAAATTTTTAGTTTTTACCATAAGATACGATGTAGTAGCTACTCAGTGTCTCAGTATAATATATCTAGATGGCTATATAATGGTAACAAATAGCGTATTATTTATTGTCTATACCACTTAAATCGCCAAATAATTAAAATTTAAGCTGATATTTATTTATAAAAACTTGATAAAAATTATCAACAAAAAAAACATTTAACAGGTAATAACTAATAAGTAATAATATATTAACAGGTGAAAATAAATTGATTATTCATTAAATAGTTATTATTTATTATATTAAAAAATAAAAATTATAGTACAATTAATATAATATTTAAATGTCAAATGTGCCAATACGGCAATAGTGCAATACGCCAATACGCGTAGCCGCGTAGGTGTGTGCCCGTGAAAATCAACATTGGCAGTGAGAAAATTCATGGACGAACAAACTAAATCCTCAAACACATGATTGTCAGCCAGCGTTTGTCATTTCTTCCAAGCGCCAGGCGAAGTTACGACTGTCACGAGTCGGTGAAACTGGTGCTTCGCTTGTAACCTCAAAATCCTGTTGAAAACAAATAGTTTCTCTCTTTTGGCGTTCGTAGCCTGCCCTCGTGTAAGAATCGCTTAGTCTTGTGGTAAGTAATTTTGAATTATTTTATTTATTGAACTTCTTATAATTTACTTTTATGCACGCATTTCTATTAAATATGCCAGACAAAGCGCGTCGTAAACGAAATCCACGAAAGACCAATTTATTGTTGCCGGAGTTGTCTATACTTGTCGGTTTTCCTAAGTCATAATCGTGACACGATATGAATACCTTAATGTCTAACCTTCTCAGCAACAGCTGAAATCGAGTATAATATTATTCATTATTATAATAATATTTTCTGTGGTATTTATAAAAAATCTCTGTGAATACTTCGCACATTTCGTACACGACATTTACTTGTGCATATGTGCATTACGTTTGACATGTTATTAATATTACTATTCTATTTTACTTGAAATTTCAGCACAAATCGGCACGATGGGTAAAATAATGAAATCTGGTAAAATTGTGCTGGTGTTATCTGGTAGATACGCCGGCCGAAAAGCTGTCATAATGAAGACCTACGATGAAGGTACAGCGGAAAGACAATATGGTCATGCACTAGTGGCTGGTATAGATCGTTATCCTCGGAAAGTCACCAAACGCATGTCTCAGGAAAAACTTAAAAAACGATCCAAAATCAAACCTTTCCTGAAAGTAAGAATTGCTGTTTGTTATATTATAGTGTATATGATTTATTATGTTTTTTTTTTGACAGTTAATTGCTTGAGTATTTGGATAGTATGGCCATTGATTCCTTATTGATTTTATATTTTATTAATTATTCATATGGAAGGTTGATAGATCTTTTATAACTTAATAATGTGAAAACACCGTGTGTCAGTACTAATGGCAAGTACTTTCATGTTATTATAATAACATGTATATTTTATTTTGTCATTTAAGTTATCTAATGATACTCTGATTTATACTTCTAATACATGTTATCCAATTTCTCACTGAAGTTACCTTAAATATCTTCTGTTTAAACAAAAATGATTTTTATATAAATTCCATTCTTAAAAAAACATACTTAATAATGATACTGTACTTGCACAATGTGTTTTACAAACTTACCACAAAACTAATTTACATTGCATTTAGCTTTAACATAAATATATATTTAAATTTCTTTTTTTATAATATTAAAGTCTTAATTGATTAAGTTAGGTATGAACGTTTTTGAATTACCACATTTTACATATTCCTATCTTGTTTAACAAATTGTTTATAAATATGGACAATGGTTTTACCTTGAAGTTGAAACAACACATCAATTCACTGTAAACTATTAAGTCACTGTCTAGACCACAATACATTTCTTACCAACATTATACTCTATTACCTCTTATAAGTAGAGATGTTTTTGAAAAACATGTCCATATTGATCTGTACGCTGCTTGATATTAAATCTAACCAAATTAAAATTAATTCTGCTATTTAAAAATATCATATGGTGTAATTTATAAAGACGCAAGTAGAATACTGTACCTTGTATGATCTTAAGCATAAATATATATCAATGTGAATTTGATATGTTTGTTTTGATTTTAATAGTATTTATATATCAAGTATCTTTTTGAATAAAATTAGTAGATAAATTACACTCATCACTTCTTAGATGCATTATAATTGATGTTAACTAATATCTTTATTATGAACATTCTATAGATAATATGTAGTTTATTTACTATCGCTTACATTTTAAAGGTTTTCACAAATTTCAATGTTTGAGAAAAAAAATTTTCTAAATCTTAGTATCACAGATTAATAAATAAATACAATTCATATTTTCTAGCCTTAAATATTTTTATGAATTATAAAGTGGGTTTTGATATTTATAAAATTTATAAGTTATAACACTAATATTTTTTCTATTAATTTTATTGAACTTAAAATTATTAAAAATAAATAAGTTTTATGAGAAACAATTCTTTTAGTTATAAAATAAGAACCATTTACAAATTTATATTAATCTTGATATCACTTACATTAATTTCCATACTTTTTCAGGTGCTCAATTACAACCACCTTATGCCAACTAGATACTCCGTACAAGATGTAACAGTAGACAAGGTTTCACCTAAAGATTTAAAAGATCCAATGATTAAAAAGAAATATCGTTTCCAGACCCGGGTTAAATTTGAAGAGAAGTAAGATAAATTTTTTTAATTATATGTTATGCTTAAGTTGTATTGAACAAATTGCTTTGTATAAAGATAATATGCACTTTTAAATTGAGTACCATTGGTATAGTTTTTAGAATAGCTGTATTTTGTCTATTAATGCATTATGAAACAAAACCAAGACTCTACTATTTGACTAAACAAATCACAAGTATATGGTTCTTGTTTAGTCGTTTTTCTTGATTTTATGCTTTATTTATTTCTGAGTTTAAGCCATACCTAAATTATTCTAAACATAGATAATCTTTTGTTAATTTCTGAAATCTACAGTATGCACAAGTGTCAAGTTTTTCAAATATTATGGAGTGCTTAAAATTAAAAATTCTAGAACTATTGCCTATTTGTGTATATTTTTTATATCATATACATTGAAAATTAATTATCAAAACAAAATAAATGGTTTAAATATTGTATCATATTTCATATATTTTTATTTATTTATTTATCCTGTGATAAAATTAATAGGGTGCTTAAATATTATAATGCTCATGATTTCGTAGCTAAAATTTAGTAATTGATATCAATTGTGGTATGTTAGTGTTGCCATTAAAATGACCATGTCATTTATAAAAAATTTCATATTCATGTATTATTGGTTGAATAGCTTTAATTAATAAGTACAACAATCTTGAAAAATTTGCTCTTTAAAGATTAAATATAACTTTTTTTTTCTATATTATTGAAAATTCTTAACATACATGTAGTAATCACAATTACATAGACATTCACATTAGGATGTTGCATCTACAGCATGTCTATTGAATTATATTTTATATTGTCATCATTTTGTTAGCTGAAATATTAAGATTGGTTGACTTAATCAAACTTTAAGGTAAAAACATAATTTATGTTCTATTGAGTTTTTATATTTTAACTAAGTTATGAGTATGAAAAATTTTAATATTTTCAGTACTTACTAAAAATTTCAATATTGTAAAAACTTAAATATTCTTATCTTTAAGTTTGATAGTACACTATAGTGTTCACTATATAATTATAGCTGACAATATAAAATTAAACTAATTGACATAAATTTGCTGTGTCTATTTGTATAACGTACAAATTATGAAACTGTTTTTTAAGTATTAAATACTTCTGTTCTTAATAAATCATAAAAAAAGTTTTTATTGTCATTAACATTTTTCCTCTGGATTTAATAATAAAATAATTTGATTCCAATAATGTATTACACTTATTTCAATATGTAATAAATTTATAAAATCTGCATGATATAAATAGAAATACCATGTTAATGCTTTCTTTTTTCAACCTTCTTAATATCAACACTTAAGTAATATCTAATTATGTTTTGTTTACAGATTCAAGTCTGGAAAGAATAAATGGTTCTTCCAAAAGTTAAGGTTCTAGTTGACATTATGTAAGATTTATCTCTTTTTATTGGATAATAAAAAAAAAAAAAAATCTTAATTGATGTGTTATTATTTAATCAATAATTATGATGCTTAGAAGTAATATAAAGTATCATATTATATTATCATAAAACTAGTTTTCTAAGATTTATGATCAAAAATACTACTTGTTCAATTTAGTGTTCAGGCGAGTATTCATGTGTAAGATACAAATTTCAATGTAGTGCTTTAGGACAAAGCATTTTTAGTGCAAAGTTTGTTTCATATAACAGATATTATTTAAAAAATGTGAAACTTTCATTTTGCATTTTTCAATATTTCTTCATTTGTAGGTAATGTTTAGTGCATGTAGTTAACATGTACGAGATTTTAGTGTAAATAAAATAACTAAAAGAAATACTAATTTCAAAATATTTGCTTTAATAGTTATTTTAGGTATTATTCATCCATATCAAATATCGACATCAATTATTTTGTACCATGAACTAAGAAGATAGTTCATGATTTGTACATGAATGTGATAACGTCTTGAATATAGATTCAATGTCTTATCATAATCAGATGTGGCATTCAAGACTTACATGACAATTGTAAGATTTAAGCCTGTACTCCAATTTCTTTTATGGAGGTGGTTATTCAAATCTTAGTTAACGGTATATAAAAATTATGAATTATTTTTAAACGCTTTAAAGCAATTAGACATAAATATAAATTAATTAGGTCAAATTTATTCAAATATGCGTATTATATAAAATAAAATTCAATTTTATACCACAAATTCTCAGTTACTATTTTTTTCTTGAAAGAAAAACGATTAATTACTTCCTTGTATGGATATTAATATTTCTAGTACACTAAGTAATGCTAAACCATTTTGTATGTTTTCAGTGATAGCGTTTCACAAATTTTTCTTAATTATTTTTAAAGAAAAAAATGTTCTTTCATTTATTAGTTTGACACAGTAGTCATCAAAAACTTTTAATAAAAATGAAATATTTGAAAAAAAATTTCAGCTACAGTTAGAAATGTTAAAATATGCTTCAAGTACTAAGATAGTTTGGATTTATCTGAATATTTTTTTTTTTTTCAAAGGTTTTAATTGATGATTTAATATATTTGTGTGGTAGTAACAAAATTAAAGATGATAAATTTTTTTTAAGTAAAACATTCTTTAAATTAATAAATAAAATCATCATAAGATGAAAAATCCATTTATTTTTATTATCAAGTTCCAGCTATTTTGCTAAAAACCTATTAAAACTTACTTACAATTTATAATAGTTAATAAATTTACAACTATAAATCACTTCTAGTTTTTACTTCAATCTGTGCTATATAAGATATAATCATATTAAAAATATAAACTGTGATTACTACTTATTAAAATGTAAAAAAAAAATTACTTAAAATGAGAAATGGTAAAGTAAAAAAATATTAGTATAATAAACAATATTCATTAAAAACTATTGAGTAATTTTTCTAAACCTTGGCACACTTATTAAACCTTCGACAGCAGACAATGTTAATTTTGTGGCTTAGTTAAAAATAACATAAACTAGCATCAATTAATATTTTTAAAAATAATTTATAATTTCTTTATGAATAGGTAGTTAAAACAAAATAAAATACACAAGTAGTAATTTGAGCAAAACAATATATTATGGAATAATAAAATAAAATACATGTTTATAAATTCGTTTGTTGTGAGATCAGAAATCAAAAGATTTCATATTACAATCAAATTGATTCTAAATACCAACTATAATCTATACTGATTAAATAAAAGTTTAAAATATAAAAATTATTTTTTAAGCACTAAATAAATCAGATTAATTAACAAAAAACACCAAATAAATAATAATATAATTAATAGTTTTATGTGTTTAGTATCATTGATTACCTATATAATCAATGGTAGTTTTAAACCACATTTAGACCACATGTTTAATCATTGAAAACATTTTTCATGTTTTTAATTTTAACACATTCATAATTGTATTTTCAAATGCCACTTTTCTTACACTTGTCTAACACAGTATTATTGTGTAAATGTTGGTCTAAATGTGCTTTTAAACTAAATGTGGCTCTATAAAGTAGAAAGATGACCCTAATTGAAAACTATCATTAAGATATTAGGTTTCATTTAGAACAAAATCTTATTTTAAAATTGTTATCATGGGTAATTATATATTTTAGTGGACTCTCAGATGGCATACTTGAATACTTGATTTCTTAGACCCTAGTAAGAACTAAGAAGAACCATTAGGTATTTAAACAGTGTTGAAGAAATAAACTTGATAAGTAGGTGGATTAATCAAATTCAGTTGTCATGAAAATTATGCAAATTCAGCATTTTTTGTTTAGGTCTATATGTATTTCATTATTAAGTTTAAATCATTAATTTATACCTATTATTATTGTATGTTAATTTAGCAAAACATTTTTGTAAAAGAAAACATAATAAAATTAATCTTTAAATTTGTTATTTATCCAACCATCATTATTATTAGAGAAGATATTTCAAATTACTGACATCTAATTATATGAGTTCTAATTTAACTCAAAATATATAACAATAATCTATCTAAACCACCATAACAGTTACGCAATGAGAATATTTTTTAAGAGTGATGGTATAATTAGAGGATTAAATTATTTTTAAAAACTTATATTGACATAAATATTCGCTTCAATTATGTATTTAAAAATAAAGCAAATATGTTAAAAAAACTGCATCAAGGTCAATACAGGGTATCATTTATGTATCTCCTCTTCCTCATAGTTACTATACCTCACATCTACAACTATAGATAATCTATAAGTCTTAATAAATATAAAAATACTACTTATTTTTTCAATTATATGACTTAACAAGAGACATCAAATTATGAAATTATGAAAAATATATTTTATGTAGGTAAAATAAATAGATTATTTAACAATATCGACATTGACTAGTATCAAGTATTAGTCAATTTAACATTATAAATTATTTTCATCAAGAAAGTTTGTGTTTTAAGATAACATAAGTACAAATTTTAAGAAATAAAAATACAGCTGTGATATATCCAATGCTAGTCCAAAACATATTTTCACTCATACTTACATCCTTGAGAACTAATTCTGGTGTACCATTGTAACAATATATCTAAAAAACAGTTATATTAATATAATTAAAACTTATGTTTATACTCATTCTATATGCACGTAATCATAATTAAGAAAATATTTAAGATATTTTAGGCACACAAAAATAATCTTCGGTTATTTAAAGCATTGTATTATAGTTAGGTTAAAAGGATGCTGCAACAAAATTTGCTGAATCCGTTTATAATATTTAGATGCATATCAGTCTTTTTAAAAACATTTATTGGTTAAAAAATCTTAATTTTATTGATACAATAAAATATTAAATAATTGACATTGTAACTCCATGAATCGACCTTTCAAAATTATAATAAACTGTTTGAAGACTTTAATTTAAGTTATATAAAAATAATCATTATAAATAGATAATATTTTATTAGATTAAGCATTTAAATGATGGAAAAGGTAATTATTCGTGTAGCCATTTCTTAACATTTCAAAATTAATTAAATAAAATATTTATTACACTAAATTTATGAATATTTAACTTACTTCTGGACATGGCAACGTAGATCTTTTAAAACCATAAATAGCATGTAAAATACCTTGCATAGAATGTTTCAATATAGATATATCATAAATCCAACTATACATTTTTGGTGTGTCATTAATACGTAACATAATGCCCGCAAATATTGTCATTGGTAAAATAATTGAAGATATAACAATAGTATTTATCTGCAATCAAAATGGTATATATAATAATTTACAGATTTATTTTAAATACCTATTTAAAATTTAAAAATTAACTTACAAGAAAATTCTTAAACAAAATTGCAATCAACATGCCTGTTGCTTGTGACATTAAACCAGTTACAATTAACATTAAAAAAACCATTAAAAATCTGAATAACTCAAATGGCTGTCCAGTCATTAAATAAATCACAATGCAAAATAGACCTGTAGACATAACCTGAAAATACATAAAAATAAAATTATCAAACAAAATAAAACACATTTTATAACTATATAGTATATATGTTTTTCTTAATTAGTATATAATTTAAATTCTTTTAAGATATACAATTAAAGTAATTAATAATGAGTTAGTTTTAAATGTTTTCTACTTTCTAAACAGTGTTTTTGTTATAACTATTTTTACTAAATAAATAAAATTTAATAATAAAAAAAAAAAACTAAAATTATTTCATATGTTTAGTGTATTATTTTATAATTATCATAAACAGTATTTCAATTTTCAAACAAATTTACAAAACCTTTAACTGAATAGAATTTTGTGTAATAAATACCAATTACCAATTCAATATTACTAATTATAATAAGCATATGGTATGTTAACTATAATGTACTTAATAATAAATTATTCAGATAGTTCATTGTCTTTCAAAATTTAAATGTTTGTTAATATGTAAAATATTACAAAGTTTTATTCTAATAATTAATATAAATAAAATAATGAGTTACAAACCTGTAAAGGTAGATCCATTAATGTCACACACGTGTAATATGAACGAAGTGAATACCACTGGTTGAAATATTCTAATCTCATAAGTAATAACTCCATTGGAACTAAAATATGTATAGTATATGTAAAAAATTGCATTATTTATGTATTATAATAAAATAAAATGACACTCACATTTTATAGACATTGAGTAGGCAGATAAATAAACAATCGCCATCATACTGAAGTATAACATTGTAACATTATCTCGTGTGAACAAACCACTTTTGCCAATATTTAAGTAAACTGAACCAAACAGAAAACTCATTAAAAGAGGTACAAATATTCGTACTTTGATAAAGTCCTATAACAATAAAATAAATAGATATAATTTAAAAAGACTATTGTGTGTAATGTATATTATGTAGGAATAGAGACACCAATCAAAATATATTATTCAATTAATAACTTTATTAATACAAAAATGTAATCATTTGATTTATTCATTAGCCTTTTTGACTAGAATACCTCTTATTAAAGATGTAAAATACAAACACTGTCTCTAGATGAGATGATTAATGTTCTATTAATTAGTATTCGTAGTTCATTGAAAAACTTTGAGATGCATTTATGTTTAGAACAATTAGAACGATAGCTTTGCAATTGAACACCTGCCATGAATAAAATAACATTTAATATAAATATAAGATAAAATAACAATATAATATTTTTTTTACTCACAGTTTTCTAAACTTTTGTCATTATTCCAGTCATTTGATTTTCCATTATTGATATATTTCACAAGTGTTTCATTATGATCACCATATTCTCCGGCACTTACTTCAATGACTACAAATTAAAAAATAAAAATATTGTTAATAACATTGCTATACATAATAAGTTATACTGATTAAAACAAGAAAGTTAACATACTAAAATCTGCAGGATTATGATGTAAAGGACACTGGAGACCAACAGATGATAGATAACTTATAAGGCTTGATGACTGTCCGCGGTAAATACACTGACCAGTAGGTGATAATATGTATAATGCATTAAACATTTCCAATTGAGAAGCAGATGCTTGATGAATAGTGCATATAATTGTTTTACCACAATTGGCTAAGTCTCTTAACATAGATACTACATAATTTGCAGATACTACATCTAATCCTCTAAACAAAGTAAAGTATACTATTAGTAACAATTAGCATCGATAAATAATCTACCAATATTTACGTTGTTGGTTCATCAAAAAACATCACTTTTGGATTACGTATTAATTCTACAGCAATAGACAGTCGACGACGTTCACCCCCAGATAAATTTCCAGCCAAAGTTTGTTCTTTTTCTGACAACTTTAAATTATCTAATATTCTTTTTATCTGAAAAATAAATTAAACATTACGTTCATGTGAAGTATATTTTACCTTAACTTAGTACTAAGGTATTTTATAAAAATAATTAAGTCTTAAATTTTAATAACTTACAATCACAATTTTATATTTTAATTCTAATTTATTGATATAAACATAAAAATTAAAAGAAAAAATTTAATCTAATCTCAACTTGTTTTCCTATTATTTTTTAACAAAGTACCTATTTGTATTGTTAAGATACTTTCATAATTACTAAGCAAGTATATATTATTTTCTTATTAAGCCAAACTAAAATAATTTTAGTTATTCATTACCTATTAATATTTATACAGGTAATTTAATAATTATTTTAATTTCTTACTAAGATTTTGTGGTAAACATCAAGTTGTATGGTACAGTTTCTAAGTTTAGAAGCTATTTCCATTGATTCTAAAACAGTAAGATGGGGTTGTAAATTATCTTCTTGCATTATATAACTCAATTGTTTTATGAATTGTTTTCGATTGCGTGGCTGTCCATTAATAATTATATCTCCTTTGTAACCACATGTCCTATGAATAAATTTAAAATATAAAATAAATAGTGTAATAATTGACAAAAAAATAATTAATTTGTTTGATCATACTTATAACCAGAAATGAAATTTAACAGCGAAGACTTGCCAGATCCAGAACATCCAATTATAGCGCATGCTTGTTTTTTATGAAATGCACCACTGACATTTCTTAAAATCTGTTTTTTCTCTGAAATAAACCAGGAATTTGTTTTAAAATTAATTAATTTTTAAAGAGATTGACCATTAGCATTCAAACTATGATTGACAAAGAAAGCACAGATAATAAAGTACCTATAAATTTAAATTGTAAAATCAAAAAAAAAAAACTGAAAAAATGATTATCTATTTAACTATTTAAGCCAGTAATCCCAACCATTGGGGTTGATACAATCCTTCAATATATATATATATATTTTTTTTTAATTACAGGTCAACTGACAACCTGTGAAAATTACTAAGATTAAAAAAATTAATTTTTATCAAGTCGTAATTTTTTATTATGCGGTGTCGTGTTTATTACTATCGGAGTGTAATTATATATATTTATTGTTTGTTATGATATGCAACAAATTATTACGATAAAAATTAATAATTAATATTGCACAAAGCCTTAGATATCATCCAGAAGTACTTGGGCAACGTTAACCAATATTGTTGTTAACGTCAATACTGCCGTAAATATAGTATTATTTTTCAAAAAATTTGGTACCTATATACATATTTAAATGTCAACACATTAGCCGGTAAATACCACAACGAAACGTACAACAGTATCATATCATATCCAGATAATATTTCGTAAATCTATATTATCCAACCGTTGTCAAATTACAATAACAATACCTACAGATTACAATATTAATAATTATAATTCTATAATGTATTATGGAAATCATCATTGTCTATGTACCTGGACCGAATATTCTGCCTGGAGTCCAGACGGATACCGAGTACGACACGTCCGAAAATTGTACGTCGATCCCTCCACTGTCCGTCAGCAAATCATCCCTTTCGTCCATAATGTCACCCACAGACGAACATTGACTAGCGCCTAGCGGTGCCGATTGCAGACTACTGGCAAGCAGATGAGTTACTCGAACAACTCACCAGCCACGAACGGCAGGAACCGAAAACTCAAGAGTCGACACTTCGACAGTAACCGAACAACTAAACAAGAATCGCCGTCGCGCGGATACTTACACATCGCGACATCGTTGTTATTATTATTCAAGTGCTGCGCGCGCACGAAAAAATAGAGTTTATGTAACATGTAAGTCAATTTTGTCATGTACGAAATTACGAGAGGAAAAATAAAATAATTATTTCTTAGGAATATTATAATATTTATATATTAATATATTATATACTGTTTCGTCGTGCGCAAGGCCGATTTTCGTTTCTCATGTTTACCGTCAGTGACCAGTTGTTATTTTAATTATTATTACTTATTATTGTTGTTATCATCATCAGCCTGCATTCGTACTACGGCGTGGGTGGTAGACGGACGGCGGTATCAACATTCGACGGTGTTGTCGTCGTCGCAATCGTGTAGAAGGATAATGTTTGGTGGGTGGATGAAGGACGGACTCTACGCAGTATAATGCACAGCTGCCGATATGGCGAATGACGATATACGATAGAACGATGAGCGTGATGAGATGCGGAAACGTGCAACGCGACTCTTATTATAGCTCCGAAAACGATGTCCAAGGCCGAAATTATTTAAGTTAATATTAAGTTCCTGAATTTTTCATTATGTATCGAGATCATATTATTTAGTTAATTTTAGAAATAATTCAAATTTTAATTCATAATAGTATATAATTGTTTGTGAGGTACACATAATTTTTAACACTCCCTAAAATATAGATTAGTTGCGCCTATGGGTTAAAAATATACCAAATAGCTGTGATATTTTAATTTTGTAAAAAATAATTAGAAATTATCATAATTATTACAACAGCCAACAATTATTGTAAAATGTTACAGATTACTGATTAGTGATAATTACTATAGTCTATAAGTTTTAAATCGTCATGGTTCAAATATATTTTATATAGCTTGCAATTGTAAATAATCTCTACAATCTACATTTTATATTTTCTAAAGCTAAATAACCTTTTGGCTTTTAATTATTATTCTAGATGATAGACTTATTAAGTTATTAGTTATTATTCTTATTTTTTAGTGTCTAAAAATTGACACTTATTCAATAAACATAGTCATATAGTTATAACGACTTAGTAGGACATTTCCTCGCAAAAATAAACAAATTAAATATGATATAAATATATTTAAATATGATTATTTTTCATTATTTATTTGACTATTAATGACTACCTACTAACTATTGTCTAATTATTTCAATACTTAGTTTAAAAACGTTTTCCGAATTTTTTGGCTTTGAAGTCTACAGTTTTTATTAACAAAATATACTTACTAATTTGTTTTGTATTGCCTGATATCTTATCAATAAATATTCCCTTGTGTGATTGCATTGTCACATGGCATCGCTCTTTTAAAGATATTCAATGAATACTTTATACAATTATACCTAGGTATTATACTTACCCGAATCAGGGTCGGATTCAAGGGGGGAGAGGGCGAAGGTGCCCCACCTCCTAATGAAATAAAAATAAGGTATTAGGTATGACATTTATAATATAAATACAAATTATTAAAACCTAGCAAAAAAAATTGCAATTTGCAATCGTAAAATTTAATGCAATTTCGAACAATTACATAATAGTTTTATCACAAAGAAACTGTTTTATGAAGAAATATGCATATAGGGGTTCTGAAATCATTAATCGCCAATGGTATATAATATTATATTTTATTATATGCGCCCCTCTTGGAAAATTTCTGGATCCACCCCTGATCCACATGCATGTATTACAATGGCGTTCCTTTATAGGGGAATAAAGGCATTTCTCCCCTCTAGGAGAGTGATTTCCTCATTAAACATTGTGTTGCTAAAAATTACTCTTGGTTTTTTTTTTTATAAATTTTAAGTAAGACAGGTATTTAATATTTCGTGCTCACTTCTAAAAATGTTTCCATAATATGCCATTATATAAATATTATGGGTGAGGAGGGGGGTTGCATCCTTAGTAAATATCACAGTCTAAACATTATATATTATTTATATAATAAATTATTATATTTAATCAATGGTACCTATTTTAACGGTATTTACAAAAAAGTGAAAATGTAAAAGTTAATAAATTAATGGTAATATTTTTGCTCAGGTAGTATTAGTCAATTGTCGATAGAATGATCTGAAGGTATGTAGTACACTATGTACTATTATTTTTTTTTTTGTAGTACCTATGTTGTACAGATGCATAGGTGTTGTATATGCATTGTCATTGTATGTATAGTAGAGTAAACACTAAACATCACAACCTAATTTAATACCAGTAGGTAACAAAAAAATGAATCCTATTTAAATATTAGACATTATTATCAAAACTGCAGGAATACACGTTTAAAAAATACAAAAACAACTAAGTAAAAATTAATAATTAATATTTTTTAGCAGTATTTATAATAATTTATGTAGAATAAACATTCTGCGGATAATTTAATGATTTTATAGTACCTATCTATGAATTTAATATGTTTATCGTATTTAAACGTTATAATTATTATTTTGAAATAAAAGGAAAAATAATATAACTACCTAGGTACTTAAATAATAATTTTCGGAAGATAAAAAGTAAATGAAAAAAAAAGTCATTTTTTTAGGTACCTATAACGTTCATTAATCATGTCTCTGGATTAGGTATATAGATAGTTATTTTTAAATAATAATAATTTTGATCCAGTTAACAAGTTGTAAAATCTTTATTACTTACTTCTAATTCAAAAATTTAGGCTCTAGTTTTAACAATTAAATATACATTTCAATAATTTCATATTGTCTTATAATACTATACATTTTAGAATAGTTATATAATATTTACACCACAGAATAATATATTATCTATTCATTATTGTAACCACTTATATGCTATTTTTCATATTTTCGTCTCTATTTGTACCAATATACATGACTATGTTGTACTGTAGTCTGTATTCATCATTTTTCGAGGAGTTTTTGATTCTTTGTCATTTTTAACGGTTTTATATAGTTGGTGAAAGCAATTTGAGGGTCGATGTAGTATTATAAACACTTTCTACTTTATGACTTAGAAAAAACACTAAACAATAGGTCCTACATTCATGAAAAATGAGAATGATACTAATAATAAATCGAAAGAAATCTATAAGATATATTTAGTAAATGAAAAATTTGAAAATTTGTTATGTAAATATCAATTATGAACTAAGAAATGAGAAGAAATGAATCATGAATTAAATAAGTTAAATGCAATTAAAACACTTGAAAAGTGTGATAATGATAAAATTATTTTTTCTCTTTCTTAAAATTTTGGCCACTCTTCCTGTGTCATATACGAATGTAAAACGTTCCTTTTCAACAACACTTAAAGACGTATTTATAAAACACCATTTGTTAAAAACGAATAACGATTAAATTGACTTGTACATAAAACTTTTAAAAATAATTGAAATAATATTAAAACCATTTTAAATGTGTCTATATTATTTATGTTTGTTTTTTTTCACATCGACCTATTACTAACAATTAAAAGTCGAAACCCCAACTATTAATAATCTATACAAACGGCCCTGACCAGTAGTTTCAACCCACTGTTTCGCAAACATTTTCTCAGTATGTCCGGGCAGTTTATTTAATTTGGTGTAAATAATTAAATAGTAATAAATAATTATAAAAGATCTTTGCTGAAGACAAAAATTGTTCAAGGCTGAAACATATCGTTCCGTAAACATTTTGAGAAGAATGTGTCGTGTTTTAGAAATACGTTGAAAACCACTGCTATTGCTATAGTTTAAGACACTCAGACTGAGTTTTCAAGAGCTTTTCTAAATTAAAAAACTAATACCAGAGATACCTATACCAGAGTCAGAGTAGGTCATCATTAGAATAAATTGATTAAATCCTATATGAATAAAACAAAATTAGCTTACTCCTTAAAAGTTAGAAGATTTTTACCACTATAAATATATTTAATTCTAGCTATTTAAGTGTAATCCCGTCGAAGCGAGATTCACTATTAAATATTAATCTTGTAGTAATCGTTGATAATAATACATGTCCGCATACATTAATTGGTGATTGGTATTATAGGTATAATTTATAGTATTGTATACGTTCTAGAGTAGACCATCTATTAGATGTATATAATATTGTAGTAATACTAGTAAGTAGTAACAATGTAATATAATCTAACATTCTAACTTAATTCGTATTCTGTGGTTAATTGCAGCGTAATCAGCGTATAATAAAAATAACAACTCGTCAACGTCCTCCAAATACTAATTATTATTGTGAGTTGTGACGTATATTATTTTTATAGAATAATTTATGAATTAGATACCTACTATAATTTATAATTTTTTTATGACACAGACACCGTGGACTGTTGCCAAATAGGCAATAACTGCATGTACGTACTTTATAAAACAAATATAATTTTCAATAATACGCTTTGTATAATTTATTAAGTTGAACATAGATAATAGATTTGTGAACAGAACAAGCGACAATCTTTTTAGAAAATTCAAGAGCTTGGATCGGTTTAATAATAGATAAGTAGATACCAAATATTATAATTTACGGTATATCATAGGTATATTTTATAGTTGAATCAAGATTTAAGATAATTATAGTACATTATATAATATAACAATATACTATGTATTATATTTAAATAGTTAGAAACTTAGATTATGGTTCTATTGACTATTACTGTAATAGCAGGTACTTATATTGCCTGTCGTTTTAAAAACGTGTCATAAAATTCATGAATTAACGCAATGTTCACACTTAGACTGGAGTGACTGGAGATTGGACCCTTAATAGTTAATTGGCCAAAGAAAATTATCACTTACAATTATTATGTTGTTGAATAGCAAATCGTAATCACAAAAAGGTAATAGGAAATTGTGTATTCATATTATCAAAACGAAACAGCTGTAAACACGATTTTGATACTCTCCTCTCTTCTCAATGGCGAGAATTGCCGGCCGGGAGGTTTTCTGCTGATAAGTGATAACGTATCTATGGTTTATTGAACAATGCTCCTTTAAATATTGTAGTATTTTTATTATTTTACTTCCGTGACGGTCACAGTAGTCGTAACTCGTAACACTCGTAACTTGTAGTTACCCATAGCACGATTAATAGTCAGTAGTAGTAGACATATAGATAGGTGCACCCTACTGTTGTACCACCTACTTATCGATAATAATACTATAATTACAATAATATTTACCATTTGGTTTGAGACGAACAGATAACGTAAATAATAAATACTACTGCGCAAACATAATACCTAATCACGTTCCGATTCTATCGTTTTTACCCTCGTTGACGACTAGAAATTTACGTTATCGAGCAATGAATGACGCCGCCGGTGGTCGACAGTCAAAGCTCGAAGATCTGGATATCACCAAAGAGGAATTGGACAATATCGGCGAAGCGTTGAAGAATGAACAGTTCCGGAAACTGTTGTGCGAGTATGTGGATGAAATCAACGACCCGGAGAATCGAGCGCAGTACGAACGAGAGATTGAACAGTATGAACTGGAACGTGGAACTAGTGTGACGTTCGTGCGTCCTCGACCCGGATACGTGTTGAAGACGAGCGTCAACGGCGTGCGAAAGGTGTTCGTAAATGTGTGCTGTTGCGATGTGCTGCAGAAACCGACCAGCCGCTCTGGCAGCGGCGGTGATCACTGGTCCCTGCCACACTGCCTGTCACCAGTGCGCCAAGATTACGACAAGGCCCATAAACCGTGCGATGTGTACGATGTGGTATTTCATCCGGACGCTCTTGAATTGACCAAGCATGGCAAGAGTCTTAAAGACATGGTTGAAGATACGGCACTCAGTATGATCGAGAAGAACAACAATGTGATTTTGGACAAGGCTAATATCAAGTATCCAAAAATTGCATTCAAAGGTATTGCTCGGTCATTGGTTATACGTAAACCTATCAAGGATTTCCAGCCATCTCCCGAATTCCAAAATTCAGAATTACCCGGGTGTCCTTATAAGCCACCAGTCGATCGACCGGTTCAACATCATGATCTGGGTTCGTTAAAACAAAAATCACTATTTACTGTTCCTAAGTATATAATAAAATATCGAAACGATATAGACATCCAAGAACATGGATATAATATGCATTGTAAAATGAATGCAGTCATACCAAAAGAGTTAATTATTGAAATTAATTTGCCGCTTTTGGATTCTTCGGCTAATGTAGAACTTGATGTCCTCCCTAAGACTTTGAAATTAGTTTGTCATAAGCCTTCAAAATATAAACTTGACATAAATTTGCCTTATAGTGTACTGGAAGAAGAAGGTAATGCTACATTCGATCAAAGCACTAAAAAGCTTATTATACGCCTTCCGGTATTGCGGACAGAGCCATCACTCGAGTATGTAAAGCATCTTGTTAGTGAGATTGAAATGTCCAAAGATGAAAATGATCATGACTTAGATGTTGCAAATGGTCATTTAAACAAGATTGTAATTGATAACGAAATTAACATTAATGACCAAGATTGTAATACTAAGAATGTTAATAAGGTTATAGTCACTAATGGTAATGAAAATGTAAACACAAATGATCTTAAGGATAACACTTTGTATAATAATTGTAATAATAATAGTATCGTTGAAAATGATGTACATTATATCCTGCCAGAACACGAATTTATTTTTGAAAATAAATGTTTTCTTACGCTCAATGTAAAAAATGTTGATCCAACATCAATTGATGTGATAGTTATTAAGGACAAAAATTTGATCTCCGGTAAATTTCATTCCATTGGTTCAGGATTTTTTCCTATATGGTATGCTTTTTGCTTAAAAATTCCATCCGAATCGAGCTTATTAAAGTCTGACATAAATGTATTACCTTCTGATAATAATATTATAATACATTTTTCTACACGTTTTAAACCTGAAAATAATCAATATTGGTATGGCCTTAACCAAGATAACTTAATAATTCAGTGTATTAAAATGGAAACACTCAAGGAAAACTCAAAACCTTTAACCAATGGTGTTATGTTTCCTCTCAATGACAGTGATGATGACAATGACGATGATGACGATGATGTACTTGACAATAGTAAAGAAGATGAATCAAATACTCAAAAACAACAAGGAATCAAGAAAAATAATGACAACTATCAGTGCAAAGATAAAAATGGTAAGACAACCAAAGAAAAAAAGAAAAAAAAGAAAGGAAAGAAGATTCAAAAATCAAATGCCATACCAATAGCTGTTGCCAACAGTTTACCCGAATCTAGAAAAACAATAGATTTTGTGCCCGGCTCGTTGCCAATTGAATTTAATAACATCAGACCAAAAATTGTAAGGGATTATTCTATAATTAAATAATATTTATTTATTTCTTAATTTTATCATTTTTTAAATTAATATGATTTTTTTTTTTTTGCAATAGCGTGGAATATTAAAAAAACGAGCTTTGTCTGAATGTAGTAACGTAGATGACGTAAGTTTATCTCCTCAAATGTGTAGTTCATCTGTGGATAATGTAGACACTGAAAGTTCAGATGTGCTGGGGTCAAGTTTAAATGATTTTAATTCAAAAAAAACAGTTCGTTTTAATGATCATGTCATTGAAAAAAAAATTAAGTATGCAATTTAAAAATTTATTTAATATTTAAATAATAGTATTTTTTTCAACATAATTTTAAATTTTCAGCTTTAATATAAGTATAGCAGCACAAGCAAAAAAACACAGACAACGTCAGCAGCGTAAGCGTAATATACGAGAATATAATACTCCCAGTGAAAGTGAAGCATCTGAAGCTGAAGACAGAGCTTATGGGCCATTAAATGTGGTTTCAGAAAGTGAAGAGACCAGTGTATCAGAAAGTAGTGCTGGCGAAATGTCTGATGACAATAGTAATGGACCAAAAATAACTTTATCGTCAAAAGTCACTGTTGTTGCTGACTCTAAGAAAGATCATAAACGACGCAAGAGTAAATCAGCCAGGAAAAACGCTTCACTTGCAAAACAGGCATCGACCAACAATTTGATATTTCCTATTGAATATTGAACAATATTAAACATCAGACCTCTTTTATATCACTTAATACAATCATTGAATTATACTATGTAAAACATTTATAAATTAAATTACTTTATAGCTAATGTTTATTAGATGTTTTTTTTAGGTGCATAGTTTTTTATTTTTATTATTTGAAACATATATTACACAGTTTTTATTTATAAATTATTATTGTCTTGTTTGTTTTTTCACCTATATTGGTTGATTATGTATTTTTTAAACTGTTGCAGTCTTTTTATATTGAAATATATGTATCTATGTTGAAACCAAAGTGTTTATTGAATTTTATTTATTTTTCGGGATAGCAATAGGATATACTGGCATAAAGCTAAACAATTATTTTTAATAAAATATAATAATTTTAATGGTAAAAATAAAAAATGATAAATAATAGTTTATCAATCATTAGGGTCATTAAAAAATTACCTCTAGTTGTAATGTAAATTAGATAGGCTATTTATTAAAATGTTCTATACATTAAATTGAAAATATGAGCTTTCTTATAAATTGCTTATCAATAAATTAATATTGTTAATAATATCTATATTATAATAGTTATGGTGGTACTGCACAAGCTTAACAATAAAATATCAAGAACATAATTTCATGTAACTAAGTCAATTATTGTATCACAAATAAACCAACTTTTCAAAATATTGAACATGATATTTGTCCCAAACAGAATACCAATAACATAGCATTTATGTGAAATGTATAATAAATAATGCTTGGTTAATTTTCTAAACAAAAAATAATAATATAAAATTTAAAAATAGTTAACACATTTTGATTTATTAGTTTAAAGATAAATAAGACAATTAATAATTATTCATAGAAAATTATCTACATGTATATAAAAGTGTTAAAATGATTCAATATACAATCAATGTTGAATGTGATGAATTATGTTTGAAAAGAATATTTTGCATAGTGGTGATCTCATGCAAGAAATTGATTTTCTTATATAAATTGCATGAACATAATATATCAAATTCAAATAAAATACTCTAACTTTTTTTTAATAAATTTAACTTTAATAGTTCATTCTATTTTGGTATTAATATTTTGTATACAAAATAACAAACATTAACACTGAATAAACTTACATTATTATTGTTTATATAAAAATAAATTTTATAGAACATGTCATGTAATGTTTTTTGTGATGTTTAAAATGTACAACATTGTTTGATTCACATCTATTAAACTTATGTTGTTATAACAATTAAATAAATATAATATATCAAAATTTTGAAATACATTTTAAAACAATTGTATGATCTCAGTTTATGGCCAATGAACACTGCACATATTGTGCTTAAATATATCAAAAAGTAAAATAATACATAAAACTAAATAAAATGTATATCCATGACAAATTATACAAAACAAATATATTATATATTGTAAGTCTACAACAACATTCTACATCACAATTAATAATTTACAAATTATAAATATTTTTTAAAAGAGTAAATTAAACAAAGTATGTAAATAACAAAGGTAAATTAATAAAAATATATTAAACAGTGATAAAGTCATACAGTAATCACCAGTCTTATTAATTATTCCATTAGTTTGTGATTTAAAAACTTAAATTAATCAATTAACTTTATTTTTAATTTAACATAATAATTATTAAATATCACTTTTAAGTTTTGTCTTTGGCAAAGTTAATTTAGGTAACAATATAAATAGTATACTAATCATTGGTAAGAATATAAATGTGTATTGTTCAAATAAAAGTAAATTAATGCATTAGCATAATATGATGATTGATGAGTGATGACATATTTAACAGAAAAACAAGCATAAAAAGCCATCAATGAATTTTTAACTTTTTTTTCAACACTAAATATGTTAACACCTTCAATAAAATGTACATGGCGGTAACAGCGAAAAAATTTAACCAATACTTGTTAACTGGCATATCTAAATCTTTTAAAATATTTGAAGGCGAAGTGCTGTAACAATAAATCTGAAATTTTTAGAGTTTAAATATCATATGATAGAACTTTAAAAGTTCAAACATGGCAGTAATAACATACCTTGGGGCAATATAATTTGGGTCGATCCATACCATAAATACAATGCACTATTCCTTCCATGGCATGTTTCATAAAAGAAATGTCAAACAACCATCGAAACATCTTTGGCGTGTCAGAAATTTTAATAAAAATTCCACCAAACATCATCCATGGCATAAGTAGGAAGCTGGTTAAAATTGTACTAAACTATAAACATAACACGAAAAAAGAAAAAAATGATAAATATTAAATAATAGTTAAAGCCATATACATATTATTGTATTTAAGAATACTCACTCTTAAATCGTTAAACAATGTTCCCATTAACATGCCTATAGTCTGTGATAATAGTCCCACCATTAACATCATGAGCATATACAAGCCAAATCTTGGCCATTCAAGTGGTTGTCCAGTAAAATAGTATAAAACCACACAATACAAGAATGTACACAGAACCTGAAAGGTAAAAATAATTTGTTATTACTTTATAAGTATAAAAAAAATAACATCAGAGGTATTTTATGACAGTCTACATGAATTAATGTCAACAGTTATGTTTAGAAAATAAATTATAAGTCTTAGACATGATAATAGTTAACATATGTATACTATACTAAACATAATTCAGTAAGTAAACATATTAAATTTAATTATGTTTTAAAATAGTTCCAAATATATATATATATCATTTATCCGAAGTATTAGAGTTGGTTTAATGTGTTTTTTTTTTTTTAAGCACAATATCTAAACACTATCCTAAAAATTATTATAAAAATGTTTTCAATACTTCATTTTTAAATAAATACTTAATTTAAATAGAATTTCTCAAATTATTACCTGAATTGGTAGGTCTACTATAGTGAAACTTAGATAATATGATAACAAGGAATACCACTGGTTGAAATGCTCTTTTGAAAGTATTTGAAATTCTGAGGGAACTATAACATAAATATATTATACATTATGATTTATAATGTAGGTACTCACAAATTTAATTTATCATATACAATATAAATGTTATTAATTTATAACTATTCAAGACTTACAGTTGATTATCATTGAAGAACTAGCAGTATACATAATAAACAGTAAACTGAAGAACAACAACATAAGATTGTCATGAATAAATGATGCGTTAATACCGACACCAAAATATACCCAACCATACACAGCGCTAACAATAATATGAACCAGCAATCTTGTAGTAATGAACTGTAAATATAATTAAATACTATGATGTACACTTATTATATAGATAGAAAAAATAAATCTAAATTTATATTATAAATACTTTTTCTCTCAATGTCTTAACTGTACACCTATGCAATAAAATAACAAGTTGAATCAAATGGTTGTAAATATATTCTATAAATTGTCTATCTTGACATTCATCATTGATGTTAACAACTTTCAACTGATTTTCTGAAATTAGATAAATCAGTGTTATATTATGGAATAGAAAACTATCAAAAATCTAACAGGAAATTTCACATCAAGAATTGAACTTGCTCGCCAAAAAAGCATACCATAAAATTATTTGTTTATTTTATGTCTACACTATCATATTACTTAATAATTACTTGGTTTGTGTACTGTTTAGTGCCTATACAACATGTCAACATTAACAACTTAAATAAAAATACTTTATTTTTGACTAACTTTTAACTAAATTTTCTTGACTAGTATTCTTTAACCATTCTGAAGACTTTCCATTTTTAATATATTCTACTAATTGTTTAGCTTGATCTCCACACTCTTCAAGACTTACTTCAATAACTATAAAAAACCATAAATTAATTCATAGTGTCTATAAAAATTTCAAAATAAAAACTCAATAAATAGTAGTTAAATACTAACTAAAGTCTGCAGTATTGTGATACAATGGACATCGTACACCTTGTGCGGCCAAATAATCCAAAAGATTTGATGTCAAACCATGATAAATACATTGACCAGATGGAGTAAGAACATAAAGTATGTCAAATATCTTTAATTGTGAAGCAGAAGCTTGATGTATTGTAGAAATTATATTACGGCCAGAATTGGCCAACTCTCTTAATATTTCTAATACTTGATTTGCTGACAAACTATCTAATCCGCTAAATTTAAATATAACAAATATAATCAATTTAATCATTGAAATATTATTATATTAAAATATGAAGTTATCAATTAATATTTATAGAAGTAAATAAATTAAAAACTATAAAACTGTATATTTTATTTTGAATTTAATAAACAAAAATATAATCAACAGTTAATAATATAATCTTTTTGGTCACCTAGTTGGTTCATCAAAAAACATGATGCTTGGATTATGGATCAGTTCTAATGCAATGGATAATTTTCTACGTTCACCACCAGATAAATTCATTGTAGCAGTATTTTGAATTTTAAGAAGATTCAAATTTTCTAAAATTAAATCTATCTGAAATAATACATATAACATATGTGCTTGTTAATAGATTATGGGAATAGTTGAAAGTAAATTTTTACCATTTTAAGTTTGCTAGTGTTTAATGATAAAGTTAAATTTTTTAATTTTGATGCAAATTCTATAGCCTCTCTGACTGTTAATTGCATATGAAGTTGATCTTCTTGCATAATGTAACATGATTGCTTTTGAAATGATTCCAATTCTCGAGGTTTATCATTGATCAATATTGTTCCACTATATCCACTAGTCCTATAATTATTAATATTTTATTAGGATAATTTTTACACTATCATAAGTTAAGGTTATATAAGTTTTACAAATACTACTAAATATTTACAATAAAATAATATTTTATTTGTAATCATTACAAACAAATTTCTGAACAAAATTATATTAATTTTTAATATTTTTTTAGTTTAAAAATCTATGGTTTAAATGAATAATATAAAGTTGTATAATAACATTTAAAAACATTAATATCTAATATATTATAAGATTTTTCTATTCAAAAGTAAAAAAAAAAAAATATTATCTTTTAAAGTAATTTACTTACTTATAACCAGATAATGCATTTAATAATGATGATTTTCCAGATCCCGAACATCCTATAATTGCACATAGTTGACCCCGATAAAATGCTCCACTTACACCTTTCAAAATAGTTTTCTTTTCTATAAGTTAAATATTATTTAATATATTATTCTTACTATGTTCATGTTTGCGTAATGATTAAAAATTAAAAAATATACCTATTTCAAATGTATCTGTCCAAATGTTTACTTGGTATGTTAAATCAGTAAAGTTTAAATCTAGTCCTTTGTTTAACAACATTAAATTAAAGTCCATGTTAATTTATCACCAAAATTATATTAAACATAGGTAATAACTTTAATAAAGAAGTTTTCTAGTATATTATCTGTCAACAATAATCATCATTATGCATTTCAAAGGTCAGTTTAATAAATAAAAAAGTAAGATTAGAAAAAAGATTATTTAGTTATTATACCTATATTATACTCTATAATTGTAGGTACTGTTAGTAAATCTACATAACTATAAATCAATGTCAAATATTTAAATATTACCAGTTAAAATGTATTATACATAGAATTTGTAAATGATTAAATTATTTAAAGACTGTAAAATAATCATTGATAGATTTATAAATGTATAAGTTTTTTTTTTTCTTGCCTCAATAAAATTACTCTTGTTTAACTATCTGTTGTTCAACACTATAAATTCAAAATTTTAAATTAGTGTGCAAACGTTAGTATTAGGTAATAGTAAAAATATAAGACGTTTACCTGCATTTTATGTAGTGTGTGTACGTCATATTTTCATTCCTTTGGTCTATGACAATTAAATTAAATTAGTTTTATAAATTCTGAAAGTTTATTTAGTTTATTTATGTAGGTAACAATGATTTAAAGTTTAAACAGACGTTTTATTGATCGCGGCAACATACTGATGTTGTTGAGTACACATTTTGATCTCCAATAAACATTCATCAATCAATGTCAATAAACTATGAACATTTTAAAAATCTAACAATAACTATCCTTAACTTAAAATTTAGGTGATAAAACAAAAGTATGAAGACTGACACTTAAACAACTACATTTTAAGATCGTTGAACCGAGAATATTTATCTCAATAATTCTGTGTAGTAACATGGTACATTCTATTCAAGACTGGGCTTAAGTATTAAGTAGGTATATAAAATTTATAACAATAATATTACAATGTACTTAATTAACGTCAAATGTACATTATTATTTATTATCTGTAAACTTCAAGTATACAGTAAAATGAATACTCATACTTAACTGAGTAGTGAGTAGTGAATAGTGAATACTGAATACCTACCTATAGATAATATTATCTAAAACGACTAAAACCGTGTTAAAGACAAAAGTATTTTCGTTAGATAAGAAATTTGAAATGCATTTACAGTAGATAAATATAATTACAACAGACTCAACAGAGCACTGTGGACTATGGTGTCGCGTTCTAGCAGTAAAATATATAACTATTAACTTCAAATCAGTTTTTTTACCTGTTACCTCAGTTACCTGTATATTTTTAGATTTTTCGGTTCTTTAATTTGAATGATGTTTTAGCCTTTAGATTATTTTGTCAATCTAATTACACAGACATTTTTTATTATTAACTATCTAAATCGTAACGCAGATGACATTAAACATTGTTTATTTACTAATGACTGATGAGCATTCCTCACTGATGGTGTAGTAAATATATTTATAAATTATAATTATTATTAGTATAAATACAACTCACAACGTGTTACACAGTGACAATCTGAATAATGTGATGTAATATACATGAATGCTGACCGCGGATATAGATATAGTATCTATATCCGTGGTGCTGACTATGGAATAGTGAATTAGTGAGATATTCACATAAGTAGTTTTGCACATATTGACAAAGAATCGACTTAGAACATAAACTGTAATAGACAACAGTCAATAGGTAAAGACATAGAATTTTGGTAATACCTACATTTTATAATCATATAACTAAGTCTACACATAGAAATTATCTTGCAAAATTTGTATTTTACAAATTTTACGTTACCAATACCCTAAATTGATTTTTTTTTACTTTTGAGCTACCCATCACAACAAAATTTTATAAAAGAAGGAATAACTACAAAACTACATGTGCCTAACCCAATAAGATTATTTTATAAAATGTAAAAACTTAGAGGTGTTTCAATTTAATATAATCGTTTTTCTAAAGTTAGGTCATAATATATTGAATTACTAGTATGTCACTTTATTTTTATAATAGTTATTTTATCAACATTATATTTTATTTTATGTACATAGGTACTAGGCGTCTTGGCCTTAGCAACATAAGTAATCAATGTAAATAAATATTTGTCAATGCTATTAATAATTATATACATAATTATTAAAGCTGCAACTTAACCCATAATAATTATATGTATTTAATATGTTTATTAATTTCTAGTAAATTATATGCTATTATTTTTATGTATAAGTATACCAAAAATCAATGCTAATTTAAAAAATATAGTTTGATCATATGTTTATACTGCATACTGACATAGGTACTGTTCTAAGATTACTTAATTAAAATAAAATGATTTTATATTATTTTACAATGGATTGTGTACTAAAAATAAATTAATTTCATTGTGTACTAATTTATACATTTATTAATTTTTATATTTATATTATATAAGTTGAATGATCAATACAAATAAAAGTTAGAACAATAAACAAATGATATAACATTATACTAAAATATAATAAATTACATAAAAGTGCCTTAAATTTTAAATATTATTGCCATATAGTCTGGTAAATATGATATAATTCAAATAAAAACTATTAACTATTATACTTATTCATGGTTATGTTGGTATTTAGTTTTGTAAAAATTCTGATTCCCACCTATTAAGATAAGGTCAATCAGTTATTAGTTATTACATAGCAAAATACAGTCTATATTTTGTACAGTGAGAGAACACGTCATAGTCTGATAAAAATTGATTCTTTTATATATTCCCACATCGGTGTACTTCGTTCAGTTACGTATTACTAATTTAATTAAAGTATTTGGGAGGAGAAGAGGTCATCAAAAATGTAAGAGTATATTATTATTGTCTCCTGTTGAAAAACCACTGAGTATGAATCATTTTCTCAAGAAGAATCATAAATAATCTTACATTGTTAGTTATTATGGATTGTTTAATTATTATATAGACTAAAAGTTATAGTGTTTTTCCATAATTATTTTATGTTGTTTATTATACTTTTTATGAACTGGTAATATACAACAAAGTAAGAATTTATTTTAATGTTATTCAAGTCATTTAATAGTTTTTATTAATTTGTTTTAGTTTGATCAATTACTTGAGAAAGTGATTGTTATTTTATTTATCACAAAAATTTTCTTTAAATTTTGTTTTCTTGATTTTAAGAGCTGGTACTAGTGAATCATATATAGATAACACACTTAACAATACTTAGTCAAAATTATTAAACATTGTTTGGATTTGCTCAGTGTGACCACGTAAGTGAAATAAATTGAGTCACAGGTAACTACATGCGTAGATTTCGAGACGTGCAAGGAGAACACCCGTGACTCCCATGGTGTGCGAATAGTCTCTATCGCGTCTGGTATTAGGATAGTGCATGTGAGAGCGCCCGTGATCTTCATAGACGTAATAAGAGTGTTAAATAGTGACAACTATACTTTAGGCAACAAAGCACCTACTTTAATACAACATAAATACTAGTGATACGTTTATCAAGTACTAAATTTCACTCATATCAATTGTTTTAAGCATTACCTTTGGTGAACCATATGGACAAAACATCTAAATAAAC